CTGAGCAAGAGTGAGACCCGACTCCTAAAAAAGAAAAAAAGGAAAAAACCCAGCCGGGCACTGTGGCAAGCTCCTGTAATCCCAGCAGCTTCCGGAGGCTGAGGCAGCAGGATGCCCACAGCCCAAGTCTGAGGTTACAGTGAGCTATGCTGCCATTGCACTCTGCTCAGGGTGACAGTGAGACTATGTCTCAAAAAAATAAAACCCCCACGGCCCCCGCCAATCTTTACTGTATCTCTTGAGCCCAGGAATTTGAGGTTGCTGTGAGCTATGCTGCCATTGCACTCTATTCAGGGTGACAGTGAGACTATGTCTCAAAAAAATAAAACCCCCACGGCCCCCGCCAATCTTTACTGTCTCACTCAAGTAAAACTAAAATCTTTACAGTGGCCCCTAAGGCCCCTTACAATCTGCCTTGGCCCACCACAGCCCCATTTCCCAACCTGCCTCCTTCTCACTCTCAACCCACCAAGCTCCTCAGTCCTACCTCAGGACATGCTGTTTCCCCAGAGATGCCTTTCCTCCAATATTATATACCACTGCATCCTTTTTATTTTTCTTTTTTGAGACCAAGTCTCACTCTGTTGCCATGGGTAGAGTGCTGTAGCAGCATAGCTTACAGCAACCTCAAACTCTTACGCTGGAGCAATCTTCTTGCCTCAGTCTCCTGAGTAGCTGGGACTACAGGTGCCCACCACAATGCTGGCTACTTTTTCTATTTTTAGTAGTAGCTCAGGCTGGTCTGGAACTCCTGACCTCAAGCAATCCACCCACATCAGCCTCCCAGAGTGCTAGGATTATAGGAGTGAACCACTGCGCCGAGCCCACTGCATCCTTCTTGTCCTTACAATTTTCCCTTTAAAGTCACCTGCTCTTGGTAGCGCTTGTGGCTCAATGAGTAGGGCGCTGGCCCCATATACTGAGGGTGGCAAGTTTGAACCCGGCCCCAGCCAAACTGTAACAAAAAAAGTAGCCAGGCATTGTGATGGGTGACTGTAGTCGCAGCTACTCTGGAGGCTGAGGCAAGAGAATTGCCTAAACCCAAGAGCTTAAAGTTGCTGTGAGCTGTGATGCCATAACACTCTACCAAGAATGACAAAGTGAGACTCTATCTCAAAACAAAAAAATAACATAGCCGGGCATTGTGGTGGGCGCCTATACTCCCAGCTACTTGGGAGGCTGAGACAAGAGAATCACCTAAGCCCAAGAGTTTCAGGTTGCTGTGAGCTGTGATGCCACTGCACTCTACCGAGGGTGACAAATTGAGACTCTGTCTCTAAAAAAACAATAAAGTCACGTGCTCTTAGATGCCTTTCCTGACTCCTATGCTCCATCAATCACATCAGCCTGTTTCATTTGGCTGCAGCATTTTTTCTTTTTTTTTGAGACAGAGCCTCAAGCTGTTGTCCTGCATAGAGTGCTGTGACATCACAGCTCACAGCAACCTCCAACTCCTGGGCTCAAGCAATTCTTGTGCCTCAGCCTCCCAAGTAGCTGAGACTACAG